GAATATCAGATACCTGGGCGGGAGTTACAATCTGGAATCTAATCGACAGGTTCGGGCTGGTTTATATATTGAATAACAGAGACCCGGGAGTGAGTTACAGACTGGAATATAACGAGGGGTTTTGAGTGGTTTATACATAGAATAACAGAGACCCGGGAGTGAATTACAGGCTGGAATGTAATCATGGGGTTTGGGGTGGTTTGTGTATAGAATATCAGACACATGGGAGTGATTTACAGACAAGAATCTAAACAAGAGGTTCAGGAGTTTATATATAGAACAATAGATATTTGGGAGTGAATTGCAGACTGGAAGCTAAATGAAGGTTTCATATTTAAATAACAGGCACCCAGGCGTGTGTTACAAACTGGAATCTAATTGAGGGGTTCATATTTAGAATAACAGGTAGATGAGAGTGAGTTACAAACTGAAATCTAATCAAGGTGTTTGGAGGGGTTTGTTTTTAAATAATAGGTACTTGGGAATGAGTTAAATATTGGAATCTAATCGAGGGGTTTATATGTAGCCAAACAGATACTTTTGAGTCAGTTGCAGACTGTGATTTAAAGATGTTTAGATGATTTATCTATAGAATAAAGAGAGCAGGAATGACTTCTAGTCTGGGATTTAATTGTGTGCTGTTGGTGATTTATACAGAGAATAAGAGATGCTCTAACTAGGAGAGATTGTAAGGCAGTGGTGAATCTGCTGAGTGTATTGTATGTAGCAGATTGTAGGATTGTGGTCATTCCCAGCTGTAATGCATGCAGTTTGATTTATCAGTAAGTAATCTGCTTCACCTCTCATAAGGCACGGTGACCTCCCCACTTAGCTCCCTCCTCAGTGATTCCTCTGTTGTCCTTTTGCAGTCAGGATGTGTAATGGTGAAGAAATAATGAAAAATCAAACATTTTGAACTAGTCAGAGAATAGTCCAACTGGAAAGAGGCCACTCGGTCCATTGTGCCTGTACTGGCTCTTTAACAAAGCTATCGCCTCAGCTGCTCTTCCCACAAAGCCCTGGAAATTGAATTTCCTGCCAACATTCACCGTCCTGGCAAACGGTCAAAGTTTCGCAGAGTGCCCAGGATGCCATGGACATCCAACACAAATCAGGTTCTTCCATCGCGGATAATTTAGGAGCTACCTTTTTGCCCAGAGATTGATGAAAATGTGGAACATGACTTTAAAAATGAGGTCTCCCTTTTGAGACAGCAACGGAAATAATTTTTGTTCCCTAATTCTCTTCCCTGGGAGGTCAGTGGAAGCTGGGTATTTAAATTTGATCAAGACTGATTTCAGAGAATATTCACTTGACTTAGTCCTGGGATGAAAGGCATATTTTATGAAGAAAGATCAAACAGGTTAAGCCAATATCCATTGGGGTTTAGAAGAATGAGAGGTGATCTTATTGAAACATAGGAGATCTCAAGGCATCTGGTTGGGTTGGATACCAGGAGAATGGTTCCTCTTGATGGAGAGGCTAAAACTTGGGGCACAGTTTAAGAATAAAGGGGTGTCCTTTTTTAAGACTAGAGATAAGGAGAATATTTTTCTTTCAGAGAGTGGTTAGTGTGTGGAATTCTCTTCCCGAGGTTGATCCTGTGAACTTATTCCAGGTTGCTAAATTAGACATTTTGTTGATGGACAAGAGACTGAAGGATTGAGGGTTGGGAAAGTGGAGATGAAATCTCAACAGATCAGCTATGATCTTATTGAATGGCACAGCAGGGTCGATGGGATGAATGGCCTAATGCTGTTTTCATTGGGTAGTTGAAGAGAGTCGTGAATTTAATTGGATGTTTAAGACGAGAAAGGAAGGAATTGGAAGTTATGCTGATGAAGTGGGATGATGAGAAGTGGGAGGAGACACCCATGGAGCATTAACTTCAGCATAGTCTGGTTGGGCCGAATGGCCTGTTTCTGTTCTATCCATTTCTGTAGAGTTTGTGGGTTTAAAAAAGAATACTTTATCTTTCAAGTTCAGTGTAATGATCTGATAGTTCTGTGCACTAATTGGGGTGCTCAGCATTAATGTGCAGTAAATTAGAATGAGTAAAAATAGAATGTAGGAATGGAAACAAATCATTTTAGTCTTGTATTTTGAATCTGTATTGCAATTAACTGTCATGCCTTACACAAGAATATAATAGCTGTTTCAAGGTCGATAAAGTTGCATATTAAAAAAAATAAAATTGTATTTCTCATGATGAATTTTTGCCATGTTGATTGTAAAGAGAAAATTCTGATATTGTGTGCCTATAGCCTGGGGCACACTCACTATTTCACAAGGCACAGGAAAACCTGCGGGAGTGAGCAGTCAACAGAGTCTCTCACACTCGGAATGATATCCAGGCTGCAACTGGAAAAGGCATTTCTTTTGCCTTAGTATCACTGATTACTTAATAGCTTTCTTGTCAGCTGTTTAAGTTAATATAAGACAAATGAGCATTTTATGGTAATGCAATACGCCCCATGCCTCTCGATGATGGCAAATACAGTTCAAACAGACTAATGACCCCAGACCTGGTTCTCTTACAGCAGAACTAAATAATAAAGAGGCAAAAACACAACAGGGAAATTTGATTTCTTTTCTCTACATACCATCAAGGAATAGAATATCTATTAGGTTTCCGAGAATGTTCCATGCAAATTCTGCGATTCCAAAAGTTCCCAGAATGTGGATGTTTATCAGGGCTACTCAATGAGAATTGCACAGTTAAAGGTTTTCTTGAGCATCATTGATCAATGTTTACATTGAATTTACTTCAGAATTAAGGGAATCAGGCCATTTGGCCCACATGGCCCATGATGGTATTGATATTCATCAGTACCTCGGTCACCACTTTCTCAACATATCCTTCCATTTCTTTCTTGCTTCTGTCCCTGTGCCCTTACCAGTATTGGCATAAAGAGGTTTCTCCTGCATTCAGAATTCATTTTTATTAGTGACTGCCGAATTTAATCGTTTTAAACGACTTGTATTGGCTCTGGTCTCTCTCACAAATATCAAGCATCTTCTTTATATCAACCTTACCAAACATATTAAAATTTTAAATATTCAGCTCGGTCACCAGGCTGTTACAGTGAGGGGAGTAGGGTATATATCAGAGTGTCACAGTCGGGGGTGTGGGGTATATCAGAGTGTAACAGTGAGGGGGTGTGGGGTATATCAGAGTGTTACAGTGAGGGGTGTGGGGTCTATCAGAGTGTTACAGTGAGGGGTGTGGGGTATATCAGAGTGTTACAGTGAGGGGGTGTGGGGTATATCAGAGTGTTACAATGAGGGGGTGTGGGGTATATCAGAGTGCTACAGTGAGGGGGTGTAGGCAATATCAGAGTGTTATAGTGAGGGGTGTGGGGTCTATCAGTGTGTTACAGTGAGGGGTGTGGGGTGTATCAGTGTGTTACAGTGAGGGGGTGTGGGGTCTATCGGAGTGTTACAGTGAGTGGTATGGGGTCTATCTGAGTGTTACAGTGAGGGGTGTGGTGTATATCAGAGTGTTACAGTGAGGGGAGTGGCGTATATATCAGTGTGTTACAGTGAGAGGTGTGGGGTTTATCAACGTGTTACAGTGAGGGGTGTGGGGGACATCAGTGTGTTACAGTGAGGGGTGTGGGGTACATCAGTGTGTTACAGTGAGGGCTGTGGGGTATATCACTGTGTTACAGTGAGGGGTGTGGGGTATATCAGAGTGTTATAGTGAGGGGTGTGGGGTATATCAGCGTGTTACAGTGAGGGGTGTGGGGTATATCAGTGTGTTACAGTGAGGGGTGTGGGGTATATCAGTGTGTTACAGTGAGGGGTGTGGGGTATATGCGTGTGTTACAGTGAGGGGTGCGGGGTATATCAGAGTGTTACAGTGAGGGGTGTGGGGTATATCAGAGTGTTACAGTGAGGGGTGCGGGGTATATCAGTGTGTTACAGTGAGGGGTGCGGGGTATATCAGTGTGTTACAGTGAGGGGTGCAGGG